TAAGCTTGTGTTTTCACTGACAGGGTATTTTGATTTGGTCTTAGTCATTTTGTTTATAAATAAATAAAAATGTGCAGTATGGGGGTCTTAAGTTCATTTTAGCAAAGTGGTGGGCCCAGAATAAGGGCTTAATGTCTATGGAGTACATGAGTGCATGTTTTCTTCGTAAGAAAATCCCAGTGCCTAGCATCTTGTGAATGCCATATGCATACTTTTAGAAAAGAATAATATAATTTTCCAGTTGAATAGTGACTTTTTTCTGTGTCTTCATTTCTCGCAGTGGTAAATTCTGACATTTCATGCCATTATAAAAATTATCCAATGCATGTCTTTGCCTACAGAGTCCACACTCACCATTTAGGTAAGAACTTCAAAGTACATGTTAAATTATAAATATTTACCATTGTGCTTGCTGGTGCTATAAATGTAAAATGTAAATTATATTTGACCTTAAGTCTGTTTCAATGAAAGTGATTTTACACAATACCATGAAAATTTTTATGCTGTTTCATCATATTATTTTCGTTAAGATACTCAGTATTTGGAGTTCTGAAAATATTCAGATTTTATTTTAAAATAGAAGGGTAAATGTCTTTTGTCTTATAATACCTAATCATATGGTTATAATTTGTGTTTATTACAGGGAAAGTAGTAAGTGGATACAGAGTAAGAAATGGACAGTGGACACTGATCGGACGACAGAGCCCCCAGCTGCCACAGGTTTGGAGAATCTTATTTAATTTTGAGAGAAAAAATATTAACCTGCAGAAAGTAATTTTAAAAATCCTTATACAACCCTTATGAATTTTTCTAGAAACTAAAAATCCCTAAATCTGCCTTTACTGTGTATCTGAGCTGTGTAACCTCCTTTTTTACAACTTCCAATTTGGTGCTTTCCTTGTCAATTCTCTCAAGGTAATCTGAACGTGTTAGCGAAGTCTTCTCTAGCCCATCCTTTAGTTAAAGACAGTGTTTCAGATAGCTGTTATTACATTTATTCTGATTTTTATGAGATACATTTGCTAATAGTATTTCTTTATTTCAAAGTTTGGTACTCTTGTCATAAAGTAGAATTGATTAATTAAAGGTGAACTTTTCTCGTCTAATTTTGTGTGTGTGTGTGCGTGTCTGTCTGTCTGTCTCTCCGTCTGCCTGTCTCCATCCTCTCTATCCAGAGTGTGCCAAGTTTCACATTATTAAAGCATGTGGTTCTGGGTTTTATTAATTATTTTAGTGAGTCATTGTGTTTATCTTTTTGGAAGGCTTTCTACCCTGTGGAACAACCAGTAGATGTTAGTTTTGGTGACCTGCTGGCTGCAAGATGTGTATTCACTGGTGAAGGAAGGACAGAAGCCACACACATTGGGTATGATTCTATACATTTCACTATTTAAAGAGATTTTATTAGGACAAAGCATGATGGTAGGTGACAGCTATCCTTATGAATAAGTTATACATTTTTTTGTCCTGTCATGGACAATTATAATAAACTAGAGCATTTTATCATTTCAAAACCGATTGATTTGGATAAACCCTAGAACATGTGCTCATTTTTTCATGCTTCCTTTTTTCCTGCTTCTTCAAGAAAGATCTTCAGCATCACACCTCATATATTATAATTACAAGAGTATATGTCACTTCCTCAGACTCAATAAAGAAAATATAATGATTATGAAAATTTTTTCTAAGTGCCCTTTTTTCCTTTGTTCAAATTTAGACAAATATATTAGGTGCTGTATTTAGTGGTACCCATTATATACTCAGAACC